ATTCCTGGTCATTCCCTGTTAAGTTCATTTTGTGTCCAACTGACCCAGCTTTGGCAGCTACAGGTGCCAAACAAGGCATCACCTTGAGACTCTGACCATCTGCATCACTGGAAGGATTAGCTACTTTTAAACCTAGAGGTGCCAATTTTGGCATCGGCCTCCACAAAGTATCTGTGCTGCTGTTTTCTAGGCCAGCCTTCATGTGTAGGATGGGGGGTGAAGACACACTTTCAGGCTCTGCAGGGATGCCAGAAGTACTCTTCCCTTCATCACCAGCTTTCCTGTGGGAAACAAGGGAATCCTTTATCTCAGAGTCAATAACAATCTTAAGGACATCTGGCTCAGAGGCTGGTTCTGCAAGTTGTTTTTCATTCTCAGAAAAGTCATCATCTTCCAAGTGCAAGAGGAGCGGGCTGACAGAGTCACTCTCCCCTTGAACATCAGGCAATTCTTTCAAACCAGTTCCCAAGTGGCCAACCTGGAAAGTTGCTCTGTTCCCAGGAGGAAGCTTACTGATAAAAGCCTGTCGAGCATCCCCTGGGAACTCTGTATCCATAGAGCTGGGCAGTTCAGCCAGGTTAACAGAGTCATCATTTAACTGCTGATTAAGAAAGGCAATCTCATTGAGCAGAGATGTCAGTGTCTCATCAGTATCATCCTCATCTTCCATATTAGTTAGCAGTTCGCTGGGATCCAGTGCTGCGTCCTCTATAGCTGATGCTACCTTTCTCAATTCCATCTCTATGCTTGAGTCTTTGAGATCTTTCATCTTTAATTTATGAAATGGAGACTCTTTTGTCTTCAATCTCTCCCGTCTTGATTCACTCTCTTTCCATTTATGCTGAATTCCTCTCATATCACTGGAAATCTTTTTGGGTAAGAACTCCTGTGCTTCTTGCATACTGGAAACATCAACTATTTGTGGAAAACCAGAATCTTTATTTGACAGATAAACCTGTGTTGTACCCAGTGCCATTCTGACATCTCTGTGGTTGCCTCTGGAAGAGATTCTACCCAAATCTTCACAGGAGTTATCTTCATTCCTGACAGTGTTTTTCAGGTGGTCGGGCAGCTTGCCATCAGGAACTTCATGAGGGTATTTGCTGCCACCCATATCTACCAAACCTCCCTCCGTGGCCAATGATGTCACATTAACAATTCTTGGCATCATAAATAAGTCGTCGTTTTCTGGGGGGAAAAAAAAAACTCATTTATATCTACAGTAGTAAGTACTCTCATTCATACCCAATGACCATCTCATGGGAGTTGTAGTTAAAATTTCACCAGTCTACTTTTATCAAGAAGATGAAAGGAAATACCAGTTTTTCAAATTACGGACTTAGCCTAACAAGAAAATAGGTAAAATCTAACTAAAAGACACTTTGATATTCCATCATTAATAAATGTTCTGTTTAATTATTTTTATAGAAATGCTCCCCAAGTTTATTTTTTTATCCTGAGGCAGACATGCACCTTGATTCTGTTCGTCCAATTAACTGCTACTCTGAGGCAAAGATGAAGCCCTAGAGGCAGCACTGTAAGAAAGGATGACTCCTCCACACTGGGTTTAGCAGTATTGGTACTGGTAAGGATACCCTTTTACCTTAATAGAAATTCAGGTTCCTAAAACCTAAAATTTCGTCAAAGTGAAATTTCCTTTTCACCTCAACTCCTTATCCCCAAAAGGGAGGGTGCTGAAACTGTATCAGGCTGGTAATGTAGGAGTGTACCATCTCTGAGTACAACACAAAATTGATAAATATTTATTAACACCAAAAACTAGAACAATGACTCCTCAACCTCCTTTTACTTTCACATCTTTTCAATTCTTTTCCTACTCAGAAATTAGAAGAGATCGCAAATTAGTTCCCATTCCCAGATAAAAAAGACCATTCAATACCACAGATAGGGCAAAACATATTCTAAAAAGAGAATCTTCTTACAAAGGCAAACTCGAATACAATAGCTCTTTATCATTACAGAACACATTCAAAGGCTTTCTCTGTCACTTTGAGATACCAGGGATAACTCTTTTTCACTACCCATGAAAGACAACACTTATGACATACCTGACTGAGCCACAGCACTGCTGGCAACTTGAGGTTTCAGATCTGCTTCTAGGAGAGCAGGAGAAACAGTAACCACTGGTCCTGAGAATAAGGGACCTTTTAAAGTGAGCAACTGCCCCTGTGGAGTCATCACAATGTTGGCAGAGGTGTGTGGAGTGTTAGAGGGTGAGGTATTTTCTGTAAGGAAGAGCAGAAATTAGTTAAGGATAAAAGATCTTCAATTAATGCTAGTGAATTGCCTAAGAGTGTAAGAGACATCCCTAAAAACCACACCTTGTCTTAAAAAGCAAGAAATAAAATTCAAATTTAGTTAGGGAACCTCAACTTGCAATTTACTTTTTGAACCATTTTTCAGTACCTGTCCAGTGATTCTCTTAAGGGACAGAATTTCTTATTGTTGAGGAACAGAGCCATAGAACCACTTTTTCAATGGAATGCTTCTGATGGTCTTGATGGTGAATCAGGATGAAGGCACACACAATTTTATTCCTAGGTTTGCTTTCCTATATACAGCTAAGAAATTACTTCAAGTTTTTAGACCTCAGTTTTTCCACCTGTAAAATGAGGTGACTGGACTAAATGATCATTAAAATTCTTTCTTAGCAATAACATCATTTAAATGTGCAATGTTAAAACTAACTCATATTTTAGTATCTATCACTACTTTCTTAGTTGATATAATAAACCAGATTTCCTTGGTTCATACACTGTGCTATCCAAAGAGTAAAAAAGGATATACCATTCTCAAAGGATATAAACAAGTAATGTAAGTAAAATCAATATAGCCTCACTTCCAAAATCAAGATAGGAAAGAATAAAAAAATCAAAACCAATTTACTTTGTTCCTTAATAGCAATTCATTGACAGATTGCAATCTGATGAAAAGTAGAGCCTGATTAACAAAAATAAACTTTAAAAAAAATTTCCAATTTATTTGTCTCATCTAGATCCAAACTTCCTCAACTCATGAGCAGAACTGCAGGGAAATCAAGAGTTCATTTATAAAGTCTGAAAAGATGGCAGCTTAAAAAAAATACTGAAACACTAGAAGAAAAATACTTGTCTGAAGACTGCTATCGGAAGTAGGTCTTATATGTTACCATGACTGATAACTTACTAGGATTTGCCTGAGTGTGTAAAGCTAGAAACTGAAATCTAATGTAGTTAATATTCTACTTTTAATACATTTCATTTAATTAAAACTAAAATTATGGCCAAGAGAAGACATTCAGTTCTCTAAACTAAACTAATGTTCATCTACATTAAAGAAAGCAAAGAATGTCTCTCCTACCTGTGGCCTGGTCTTTTTTTCTGGAAAGAATCAAAGGTTTCCCCTTCCTGTTATTTATAAACATCTGTCCGAGATCTACAGATGATGCAGAAGATCCTTCCTGCTGTTTGCTAGTTCTGGGAGACACATCAAACTCATCTGATCCCATCTTCTTTTTTCTTTTTTGTGCCTCTAATGCTTGTTGTTTTGCATAAATATACTCTAGCTTCTTCAGGACCACTTCTTCTGTCTTACCTATAGGTTGATAGGGAATAAACTGTTACTCTCTATAAGACCCCACATAATAAAGAGAAGCAGAGTCAACTGAAATCCAGTTGATTTAACTATATTCCCCTAAACTATGGAAGGCAAGAGTAATTATAATCCAGAAGAAATGTCCCACCCAGTCAAACGATAATTCTGATGTTAACTCTGGGAACCAAGCCTCAAACTAAGTAGTATCTGAAAGATCTACTAAGGATTTTCCTCACTAAAGCTATATTTATACTCTTTATCAGAGATCATTCACTTATCTCACCTGAAAGAGATGATACTTTCCGTATCAAAATATTCCGTTTGCGAGTCAGGAGATTTTTCTGTCCTATCAACTTGTCTGCCTGATCTGTTAGTCCTTGAATTTCGCTGAATGCCTACAACAAGAAATAGTAATATCACGTCCATCAGTTTGTTTTTTCCGAAAAACAGGTGGGGGCTACATAATTTCTTAAATTAAAAAATTTTTATCTAATATTTTAGAGAACTATAATGCCATTTAAAACAACTGTTAATGTTTTACAAAGTTATGATTACCGGGGGGAAACAGGAGGAGGGATGAGTTGCGAGACTGGGATTGACATAAACATACTACTATATATAAAATAGATAACTAAAAAGGACATACTATATATAGCACAGGGAACTCTACTCAATACTCTGTAATGGCCTCTATGGGAAAAGAATCTAAAAAAGAGTGGATATATGCATCTGTATAACAGATTCACTTTGCTGTACACCTGAAACTAACACAACGTTGTAAATCAACTAAACTCCAATAAAAATTTTTAAAAAAATAAAGTATAGAAGTAAAAAAAAAAACAAAAAACAATTTTTAATGTTTCAGAATTTATTTTTTGTTAAACTTCAGGAGATTTTTCTGTCTTATACTTCTAGGGAAAGTGATTATTTACAAAGAGCACCACTGAGTGGTTAACAGGTATTTCCACTGCTGCAAGGAGAAACAAAACATTTTACTCTGCTTAGATCTTAATAATCAACTTTAAAATCAACTCCTAGGGGCTTCCCTGGTGGCGCAGTTGTTGAGAGTCTGCCTGCCGATGCAGGGGACACGGATTTGTGCCCTGGTCCGGGAATATCCCACATGCCGCAGAGCGGCTGGGCCTGTGAGCCATGGCCGCTGAGCCTGCACATCCGGAGCCTTTGCTCCACATGGGAGAGGCCACAACAGTGAGAGGCCCACATATGGCAAAAAAAAAAAAAAAAAAAAAATCAACTCCTAATCTAAGCAAAATCTGGTTGAAATAACCTTGTTCTAGAGGGATATGACTGCTTGCCTTTTACTCTTCCAACTTCTACTTATAAGCAATTTAAACAAAATTACCTTAGATATTCTACATGCAAAATTAAAACTTCTGCTAGCTTGAATACTACAGTTTCCTTTAAAGTGACTGTCAACTGTTAAGTATGTCAAAATAGCAGTTGTGTTGTACCTTTCACTGTGATAAACTTTTCTAAGTGCTACGGAAAACACCAGTGTAAAGAAGTCATAGTAAACAGAGTTTACCAGAGTTTCTAACTTTTTTTGAAGGAAGGATAATGACTCTGCTGGTTAAGAATCTGACTTTCAATGAAAAGCTACTTTGACTCAGCATAAGGACTTTTCTTCTTAAGGGATTTATTGGACATTCATTAGTCCACCTTCAAATGTTAAACACAAGCTCTATTTCAATCTTCTTCATTCTCTTTCTCATAAATATCTCTAGAAGATTCTTTCAGTCAAGCTCTTACTTGTCTGTCATTTACACATAACACTTACCCTAGTAAGAATGAGACTTTTGGAAACCTTGGAAGAATGAAGTAACCCCAACGTGATCTTCAATTTCTCAAAGAGATCCCTCATTTCACCACGGCGGCGCCGCTCATTGGCAGTGTGTGTCCGGCGATAATAAGCAAAAGCCTCTGCTTCTTTCTGTAGTTTTTCACTCCAGTAATCAGGTTTTAGTTTTAGAGGAACTGGTGTAGCCTGTCCAAACAAAAGATCACCACCTAAGTATCTTTCACATGTACCTGCCCTCTTCCTGCACCCCAAATGGCACTGCTCTATATCAGACACCCACCATCTTCTGCCTGGAGTATCATAACAGCCTCTCAATTGGTCAACTTACTACCAGTCTATCCTTCCTCCAAATCAACAGTGTAAATTCTAATACATGCGAATGTGATATCACTTCTCAGCTCAAATTACAGTAGTTCTCAAATGAGGGAGAATTTGAGAGAGGGGATCTACAAAAAAGCTCATCTGTATAATTTATTATTAAAACTTGTTTTCCATGACACAAATTATATGGTAAACTTTAACAAGATCTCAATTAGTGGAAAACGAGTTGAAAATTTTTTTGGTAAACACTGTAAGACCCTTTACAATTTGGGAAAGGGTCAACTGCCTCTTTTCCTAAATCACTGTTCTCTCCAACCATTTCAAAGTGCTAGAAGTTTCCTAAATACACTACAATCCCACACCTCCATGCCATTACACAGGCTGTTGCCTGCACCTAACCCCTTCCACCCCCCTTTCATAACTTAACATTTAAAACTCAGACTTTGCATTTTTTAGGAAAGTCTTTCTTGACCTCAGGATGCCTTAGGCTTCCTTTCTCTCTTATTTATTCTACTTCCATTTTTAAAGTTATTTACTATAAAGAAGTAAAAGATGCATACAGGATTTAAAATATAAATATGTAAAGATCTTATAATGAAAAGCAACTGTTTCTTGCACCTACAACTGGATCCTCAGAAACAACCACTTTTTGATTCTTTTAGTGGCTTTTTCTGGTTCTTAAGTCTATATATATCCTAAGTTAAAAACAGTAACATACGCTTATTCTTTTCATTTTTCAATACAACCTATTTACTTCCTGCTATGCAGAAAAGGATTTAGCTCACCACTCTTTTGCATCTCACCATCCATCTTCCTAATACAGATATATCATTAATTTTAGTTCTCTCTTGATCCCTTTGCAACTTGAATATAATTCTATCTCCGTTTCTCATTTCATCAACAATAGTGTCTCTTTGTAAAATGAGGATATCAGTACTCATATCCTTCCCGTCATTTCTTCTTCCCTCTTTTACCTCCCAACTTGTCATTTGTACTTACTCATTTTTCAAGACTGAAAATTAAGTCTTACATACTTTATTCATGGATTATAAAAGTTTTAAAAAATCATCAACAGTGACCAACCTATTATGACAATATGAATATTAATCATACCAAGTGAGTAATAATTACATTTCCTGTCTTTTACAGTTTCTTGGTTTTGTGTATGTGTGTCCCCCCCAACCTTGATGTTTCTAATTGCCTTTATTTTCTTGACACTGTTTACCTTTATCATAGTAACAGTGGTACCATATCATGGGGTATGAAAGTACCCCCAAACTCTTCTACAAAATCATTGTCTTTCTAAAGTTAAAAACATGTACATTAGTACAGTGTGGGAAAATCAAAGATACAACCAGATAGAAATAAAATTAATACTAAGTTTAAATACACCAATACACTAAAAATAATTTGCATGTAATAATAATGGTACAAAACAATGGACTGTGTAAATAGCTATTGTGAAAATTCTTACATCTCAAAAATGTTTTAGGATGTCCAATGAAAAAATAAAAATTGTGATATATTCAAAATAATTATGGCCCTGCAAACATGTATCATATGCTCCCCCAAATCAAACCAAACTCAAACTAATCACCCAGTAGTTTTTCAAAGGACCTGAATACCACCCTCCATCTCAACCCAATCTCATCATTTTTATCTCTTAAATTAAGAAGACAGAATAACAAGTGGAAAATGGTTAAACAACTGCACTCTCTTCCATTCTTAGTGTTAGTTAGGATAAAGAGAAAACCTTCCTTAATTATGGTACTGATATCCTACACTGAGTACCTTAAGAAAATCAAAGAACGTTTATAATTTCATGGCTCCCTGAACTGCTAGCCATTACTTTAGATAATAACTAATTTTTTAGATCACCAGAAAAATCAGGAGCCTAAATAAGAAAGAATGCTAGCCTGTTTCACATCATATCATTACATTATAGGATTAGTTTTCTAATAAGCACATCAGTTTTCATAAACTCCATACCCATTTTAATTCCTCTAAATTATTCTATCAACTGGGGGTGGAGGGCAGTAGACAACTGAGAAGGGAAAAAAAAGCATTAATACTATAATTTCATTAAGGGGAAAACAGCTAATTATATTAACTCACTGGTAAAAATGGCCCTGAAAAAAGTTATAGCTAATACAGCTAATGTTGTTTTAACCCTAAGGACAAATGTTATCAATTTTATTAAATGAGTAATTATCATTAAACATACTGTAAATACCTTTCGACTCTTTTCAGCAGCTTTCTCATCTGTAGTGATATGCGTACGGCACCTAGATGAAGACAATATTTTCCAATTCTTATTGAAATTCAGTAAGTTAATACCTATTCATAGCTATATTAAACCAAACCATCCCAAATTGTCTAAATCGTAAGCAGCTTCTTTTCCCCATGGTCCAATATGTGGCAATATGATTTATTCAACAATATGCTTTTTTCTCAAATAAAAGTGTCCAAATAGACCCTAAAACTGCAAATTACTTTTTTTTAATTGTGAAATATTTCAAACATATAAAACTGTACAAACAAAATACATAATCAACATCCAGGTATCTGTCACTAAGCTTGAGAAATAAAACACCAAAATATAGGCACATTCATCATCTTCCTTCCTTCTCATAAGTAAATGCTCGCAAACTGAGTTTACTATACACATCTTTACAGTTTTACTCTCCTAGGAATGTGCTGATTCATCCCTAAACAGAAGGTATTATGTAGCATTTTAAACTTACATGTAGTGTATCTTTCTTCAACTGATTTGTCTCATTCAGCACTGCATGTGAGATATGTTGATACATCTAGTTCAATCATTTTAACTGCTATATAGTATTACAAACTGTTGAATTTTCCAAAATTTGTTTTAGAATGTTAGTAGTTATTTAGGTTGTATCCAAATTTTCACAATGGCAAATTTTCACAATGGCTGCAATGGACAATCCCAGACATGACCCCTTGTACATGTGTGTGAGCCTTTCTAGGATGTATACCTAGGAGTGGAACTGCTGGATGGAAGAAATGCATGCACATCTTCAACTGCAGTCATGTCATACTGCTCTCCAAAGTGGTTATAACTTACACTCCCACCTGCAATATGTTCCCATTGCTCCACACCTAGACAACAGTACTATCAGAAATCTCGATTTATACCAATCTTATGGGTATAAATTGGTAAAGTCACTGTGGTTTAATCTGCATTTCCCACTTTGCCTTCCAATGCCAGGGATGGAGGTTCGATCCCTGGTCGGGGAGCTAAGATCCCACATGCCTCGGGGCCAAAAAACCAAAACATAAAACAGAAGCAATGTTGTAACAAACTCAATGAAGACTTTAAAAATGGCCCACATCAAAAAAAATCTTAAAAAAAATTTTTTTTGCATTTCTCTAATTACTTGTGAGGTAGAACAAATTTGCATGTTTACTGGCAGTCTTTTGTGAATTGCCCATGATATCCGTTACTTACTTTTCTACTGGATCTTTTTCTTACTGACTTGTAAGAATTATTTTATATGCTTGATACTAATCTTCTGTCAAACACATATTGCAAATATTTTCCTTACAGTCTGAAATTGCCTTTTCACTGACAGAAATTTTTAAAATTTTAACAATCTGCTCCTTTACAGTTATGTGTTGGTTATTCTTGGCCCTTTATTATTCCAGTCCATTCAGATGGTATCTCTCTGTTTACTGAATTCTTTTTTTTTTAAATAAATTTTATTTCTTTATTGGTTGATTGATTGATTGATTGCTGTGTTGGGTCTTCGTTGCTGCGCACAGGCTTTCTCTAGTTGCAGTGAGTGGAGGCTACTCTTCGTTGCAGTGGCTTCTCTTATTGTGAAGCACAGGCTCTAGGCGCACGGGCTTCAGTAGTTGCGGCGCAGGGGCTTAGTTGCCCCATAGCATGTGGGATCTTCCCGGAAGAGGGACTGAACCTGTGTCCCCTGCATTGGCAGGTGGATTCTTAACCACTGCGCCACCAGGGAAGTCCCTATTGAATTTTTCTTCAATGTCTTTCAATAACATTTTATAAAAGTCTTGCACAACTTGTGTTAATAATCCCAAACAGCTTTTTCATATTTTTAATTACTTTTTTTTGCTTGTTGCTATTGCTTAGGAACTCGATTTTAGTATACTGAACTTACATCCTGCAATACTGCTGAACTTAAGTCTAATTAAGTTTTTAAGAGATTTAAATTCTTTCAGTCTTAACCAGTAGGCAATTGAAGTACCTTCCTGGAAATAGCCCTGGAGTGAAGAAAAATACTACCTACAGCCCTCCTTAGACTTTCTCACTAGGAAAGAAGAATTACTCTTTCTTAACTCATTGCTACTTCAGGTAGCTGATGACATAACAGGTTGAAAAGCACAATGTCTGGCACAAAAAAACAACTCTTACCTTCTTTCCCTTCTTTCTCTCACACCTTAGTTCCTAATCAATACAAGGCTTACTCAGAACATTTTTTTCTAAGGCATCATGCTCTCTGTATTTTCACCTCATCAGCTGAACAGCTATGAACATTTTTCTAACTGTAATGACCTATTCAGCTAGCAAAGTAACCAAATTTAGAATTTAATGCCATATTCTTCAAAGAACTAACCTTTGTTGAACAGTCCACTTGTATCAGTTATGTTAGTTATCTCATACATTATCTCATTTAATACTTGAAATGGGGGCATTTTCTTCATTCCATAGGTAAAGAATCTAAGATTCAGAGAGATTACAGACTTGCCCAAGATTAAACAGCCACAAACTAGCAAAAGCAGTATTTTAATACCAATGTATCAGGCTCCAAAAGCATATGTTATTCACACTTATATACTTGCCTCCTAGCAATAACAAGGCAAGTTAATTACCTCTGAATTACAGCTCCTCTCCTCATCTACTACTAAGAAAAAAGCTAGAGAAATAAAGGAACCATGTCAGTTACCCAGAACTCCTGAATAGATCATTTAGTTTTGCTTATGGTCATAAAATTACAACAACAAAAAACAACCATCCAAAGAGAAGTAAGACTTACAGCTGTTTGAAAGTCTGTGTATGGGCAGCTGTGGTCTTCATGTGGACAACATTAACTTCCTCCGGGAGCTCTTCTACAGTCTCAATGTCCACCTGCTCTTCATCATCCTCAATGTATTCTACACAGTTATTCTGAAATACAGCATTTCAACAGTAAATAAAGTATTGGGAAGCAAGCACACCTAAACTTTTCAACTGAATGCTCCCCTTATAAAGCCAACCAGTGCCAAACACTGATCTTAAACTATGAGTACTGATAATCCTAAACTTGTTAATCATAAAATGGAATTGTCATAAAGACAACATATGGTTAGAGCTAACTACCAAGAACTACATTATAAATCACAGATATATATTAAAAAGACATCATTAGACTGAAGAGACAGAGTCCCCAAAGGGCTGTATTGATGCTTCAGTGTTATTTCTAGTGGACAAAATTCAGGTACAGATATATTAAAGCTGCATAAATCTTAATATTAAATAGCAGTAAAATAGAATTTGGTGAGGGAGAAGGTAGAAAGAAGAAAAATTCAGATTCTAGTTTAAGACTGCTTCATGGTTAATCCCATATTAAATACCTACAGAAACATATTCAAGGCAGATATGGAAATAGATTATAGCCCAGACAATCTTCTAAGTCTCTCAACCCTACAGAATGAGAGCTTCTGAAGAATTTCAGATACCAAAAGAAGCCCAGGCTTGCTGTACTTATTATACCAAAATATGAGTCAATCAGTAAGCATTTATTGAGCACCCACCACAGAAACTCACTGTATATTTATAACAGTAGACTATATGGATTATGGGATATGCAGATACTTTTAAGTCCACCTTTAAAAGTAGTGTTTACTATGCCAGAAACCAAACAGAGAATACGTTATCTATAATTGTACTGTACCAGAGAGGCACAACTCAAAATGAAGCATCTCAATCACCTTATTAATTCTATGTTTAAACTTGCTGGAAAAACTACTTACCCCCAAATTACAGGCTCCCTAAGGCTAAAGGACATAAATGATGCAAGACATCATTTATGATCCCCAATTTAAGCATCATCTAAATAATGTGTATTAAATGTAAACAATGGATATTAAAATTAACGTTAGGAAACTAAATCAGCAGAACCCCAAGGGTTTGAATAGTAACGTAGGTAAATGCTTTAGCATATTTAAACTGAAGAATGTGTACTGTGTGGCTTTAATTGCAGGCTTTATAAATAATATCCAATAAACTTCATCAGGGAAGACTTAAAAAGGCTACTCACAACTTTCCTTACACTATTCCAATATAATGCTAATCACAGGTATAAAGCTATCATAGGTGTCAGACATACACATAAATACAATATAGAATTTAGATGTGAATGTCCTTAGTTTTAAAAGGCCTGTGTACCTGTCAGATTCACTATTAGGAAATTCAAGCAATGCCACGCTGTATGACTAAGACACACTAAAGGTTCCATTAAGTCAGTTCTACTGATAGCAATAGTTTTCACTGATTTTAAAGCTGGACTGTTTTTGACCTGTGGTTGCCAAGGGGGAGGAGGCGTGGGGAAGGGATGGATTGGGAGTTTGGGATTAGCAGATGCAAACTATATACAGAATGGATAAACAACAAGGTCCTACTGTACAGCACAGGGAACTATATTCAATACCCTGTAATAAACCATAATGGAAAAATTTTTTTAATTAAAATTAAAATAAAGTTGGACTGTTTTTGGTCTGATGCTTACCTAGGCTGACTTACAATGAAAGACCCTGCAAAAAGTGCAAGAAGATCTGCAATCTAACTCCTAAACTACCTACAGATATATGTCCTCAAAAAGGATTAGGTTATAGATAGAATGTGAGGGAAATGCGTATAGAATCATCCAACTGTACAGCTAGATCCTCATTTTATAAATGAGACAGGTGAGGTACAGAAATAACCAACATAGGAATGTTAGAATATTTAACCATTTTAGAGGTTTAAAATATGAATCTTTTTGCTATATTTTATCTCCGTAAGGCAGTTAGTTAGGCATTAACAGAGAAGGACCAGGTAACACAGAGAATGAACGAATCTCAAGGAAGTGAGATTCTAAAACTGCCATGCATGACAATCATTGTATTATCTGCTCCTGAAGAGAGGGACACAATTTAGATTTCAAGGCACCCCACAGGCAGCTGGCTATCACCTCCTTATGTTTTACATCAGACCCCAGGTCAGGGGTCAGCAAACCACAGCCTGCCATCTGTTTTTGTAAATAAAGTTTTATTGAAACACAGCCACACTCATTTACTTACTATTGCTTATGGCTGCTTTCACTCTACAACGGCAATTGAGTAGTTGCAAGAGCAAGTCATCTAGCCTGCAAAGTCTAAAATATTTACAATCTGGCCCTTTACAAAAAAAGTTTGCCCAACTCCTGCCCTATATCATATCTGACTCTTAGGTTACTTAGTTCAGAAAATACAACCCTAAATAAAAGCCTAAAAAATGGCTTCAGAAAAATAAAAATATAAATTAGGTCAAATTACAAAGGAAGATGACCAAAGTTCAGAATACAAATTCTAGACATTATTTAATTTTAGGAGATGATTAAAAACAACTTTAGGCAGGGGACACGGGTTCGTGCCCCATTCCGGGAAGATCCCACATGCCGCGGAGCGGCTGGGCCCCTGAGCCATGGCCGCTGAGCCTGCGCGTCCGGAGCCTGTGCTCCGCAACGGGAGAGGCCACAACAGTGAGAGGCCCGCGTACTGCAAAAAAAAAAAAGAAAAAAATTAAATAGTATTTTTCGTTTCTCTCCAAAAAGAAAAACATCTCTATAAATGCAGATAGATAAATTATCTTCCAGTTCTAAGGCTGCCTATTCCCTGTTTCTTATATATATCTACCAGATAAGCTACAATCACTTCACATACTAAATGTCAAAGAAACTGAGACTGAATGGGAGTAGTGGTTTCAGACTTTTTCTTAAGAAAAAAAAAAAAAACCTAATTTGATAGGGACTCTCAAGCATCTATCCCCCTAAGGCTTAAGTCAGCCTTCCTGTAATATCAGACAAGTCTCAAAGCTCAATATAAGCTCAATAAATGTTACCTGACTGACACAGCCCAAAAACTACAAAGTCATTTAATCATGATCTAAACCTAGGCATCCAAATCAATGTATCATGTCTTAGTGATCTTCTGGAAAAACTACTGTCTCTAATGAATCATTTAAATTCTTGAGGTTTCAGTCACAACAAAAATGGGCTCACCACCTTTTCTACATCATCAACCTCCTCACTCTGGTAGTCAGAAACAACATCCACAATCTCATCAATAGAATCATCGGTTTTCTCATTCTCATCTTCCTCATCATCCTCTTCCAAATCCAAAACAGTGAAGTCAGCACTGCTTCTCCCACCCTTCTTCTCTTGCTTTGGTTTTATCTGTTCTCCTGATAGCAGTAAGTGACCTTGAAAATGTCCTTCCCCTCTGCTCCCTTTGGTAGCTCTCCTAGGAAATATGGAGAAGGCTGCAGGACTAGAAATCCTACTCCAAGAATCACATTCAGTTTTTAAAATTCTGGCATTCTCAGTAGCTCCACTTTTTCCAAGTAAATCAGAGATGCCGTGTTCTTGTTGAAACACATCTGAATTTTCCTGACAAGTTTCTGTTTCTTTAATTAACTGCTCATCTGTCTCTTTCTTGCATTCTTGTGAAGTTCTAACACATTTCTGGGTCAAAGGGCCCTTTAGGTGTTTTCTCCACCTCTCCCTAATGCTGTCCTTCTCCAGAGAATCTCCACATCCCTTCTCCTTGGCCTCTGGCTTTGGATTAGATTGCTGCTCCACAACTCTGCTCCCTGAAAATTCAAGTTTACTTTCTTCTTTAGAGATAATTGGAAATTCATTTGATTTTTCCCCTGGATTGTCTAAGCCTTTCTGCTGTTCCACTTTCACATCAAGTTTTTTAAGCTGCACATTACTCACACTTTGGACTGTCATATTACTGGCTCTTCCAGAAATGGTCTTAACTTCCAGAACAGTCAGTTTTTCTTTGGAACTGTTATGATTCCTAATCCCATACTCTTCATCAACATTTTTATAGTCTTCACCTGTGTGTGAGCCAGTGCTATAGGCATGCTGAGAAGGTTTAACAGTTGCAGGACCTTCTTCTGTAAGGGATTCTTCATCTAAATGGTCACCCCCATCTTCCAAGGAATCATTCAGAGTTTCTTCTGAGACAGTAGCTCCTGAGTTTTGCTTTATTATATTAGCCTCAGGGTCTATAGCTTCTCCTCCTGACTGTAGGGCCTTCTTAGTTTCCTGTTCTCTTTTTAAAAAGCTTGTTTCATCTTTCTGGTCTGCATTCTGAGATTCTCTTTTCATCTGAAGTGAAGCAACATGCTGAAGAATGGAGCTGGGAACAGGCTTTTGTCCTGGGAGCTGCAACAAGGCAAAACTACCAGACTGGAGAGGAATAAGACTGGCTGTACCAACAGGCTGCCCTCCTGAACTATAGGTTATTTTGGTTTCAGAGCCTGTTTTGCTTGCAAAGCTTTGTGGTTCAGGAGGGGAAATCCTCAGAGTCAATGTACCAGACTGAGACACAAAACTAGGTCCAGAAGAAAGCAATGATGGTGCCTGAGTGATAACATTCATTGCTGGAGAAGACCCAACAGCCTGAATTACAGGATTCATAACAGAGAAAGAGGAGGACGAAGCAGAAGATGGTGGAGTCTCTGAAGGTTTGGAAGGAGTGGGTAACCGGATTCCCATCACAGACCCTGGTAAGAAAAAGAACATTTTAAATCACCACTGCCCAAATCAAGACTTCCAAAGTATGCATTTCTTTTCTAACAGGTGATTCCAAGACACTAAGAAGACCAATCCTGGTGTATTAACATACCATATGACCAAATGATTCAAGAAAAGAGAAACTTATCAGAAATATCTCTAATTTTATACCTGGGTTCCGAAACATGACAGGCTGTAAGTTGGGCTGGGTATTAGAGCCTCGAAGCTGATGCAAAGGGAGGAGCTGGACAATCTGCCCATTAGGGTGCCTGAACAGGTTCATTCCACTTGGGCTCCTAACAGGCTGCAAGACCATCCGATGTCCCTGAAGTTGTGTGTTTGGGACAGGTCTAAGAGTAGGAGAACCCTGCTGCACTGGAATCAACAACAATCGAGGTCCAGCACGTTTCACTGTGTTAGGAGAGACCTGTGGAGTAGCCACTGGAATCTGAGGAGCATTTTCTGAAAAACAGGAAATGGGAAACATAGTGTCAGAATTTCCCTTTAATACTTGGGAAAAAATAATTATGACATGGGATCTAACCATGCTACAAATAACTTCTACTTTAAACTACAGAGTTGGTAAAATCCTGTCCATCCATGATACACTACTTACTAGTCTTATGGCTGAGAACAATTTACTTTAAACCTAAGTATTAACCGGACATTGCAGGGCCTTACATTTAGATTGGTAAAAAAGAAAGTATCAATTGTCAAGAGGTGCATTTAAAGAGATAACACTTCTGCCTAATGAAAAACATGGCCTCTTAACCTGGTTCTCATTAAAGTTCAAGATAAATAAAATTCTCTTGTTCAACTTAAAAATTCAGGCTGTTAACACTTAATAGACTTATGACTTAGTTTCACAGGTCTTACTCAAGTAAGAAAAAGTCAAGGACTAAAAATCACAAGGTACTAAAAACTTCTTGGCTTGTAAAATTCACTGATAAATAAGCAAAGCATAAAGATCTGTGGAAATTATTTTTCAGAAGGAAAAAAAAATACATACCCCCAAAAAATGGAATGAAATTAAGAGACATCAAAGAAGCAGGGAAATAAAGCCTGGTTAGGAAGAGGTAAAAGATAGTTTTAAAACAAACAGAAAAAGCAGAAATTTAATGCAGAAGATGTGAATTAAAAGAGATTTCAAAATATTAATAGTACCTAAAGATTCACTTTAATGTTTGGAAGAAAATACTAAGGACATGGAAAAAAATAATATGAGTAATCTACAGCTAGGTTTTTGGTCACAGGAATAAAGAGGTAGGAATAACGTAATAGTAAGCATAAATGAAAGTGTTCTAACGTTACCATTCAAATTACTGAACTTCTTTAACATTATTATTTCCAATTACTCCTTTTTTTAAAACATTATTAAATAAAAATTTTCATCAGTTTGTCACTAAATATAAAAATCAACAAGCCAAACAAAACAAAGATTTTAATATGTGATATTCTATCAGATAGGTACTCTGCCCAAAAAAATATCACATTTCTAAAACAAAGTGAAGCTCCTAAGATTTACATGACAAATTATATATAGAAGATCCATGACTACTTTTGAAAATGAAATAAAACACAAAGACCAAACTGTTTATGAAAAAAAGTGTGCAACTTAAAAAAAATTCATCTATCTTATGTGAATTAAGAAACATGTTAAAGCATTCTTAATTTCCTGAATATTTCTATTCACATTAAGTTTTAGAGAGTGATTCAAAACCAAATAACTCCAAAAGCAGCCTTTAATACACACACTAAATATGTGATTATTTATTAATATGTGTGAGAGGGGAAGAAGGGAAAGACAAAAAGAAGGAAAGTCAAATGAAAAAGTCAGAGTTGTCTAAATCCCAAAGTTGAGATCTACTTTATGAACCTATAACAAAATTATACACTTCCTTAGAAGTTGGCAGTGATTTGAGTCAGCTCCATTTATAAAAGAGCAGGTAAGAAAATCTGTTAACATTAGTATTTCCTCAAGTAGTATTACAGAAGACACTTTTAGGTGGTAGGTGGATATAGAATAACACCATATCACATTGTCAGCATTTTAATCTTTTGATTAAAATACAGAAGAAATTACCAGTCTTTGATATTATGTCTTTAATATTATGTCAACATTTTCTAACTTTCTTCATTAACAGAAAGAGCAAGCCACATGTTAAGAACTTACAGTAGCTGGCTAGTATTTGACACTTTTTATTATTGTTTCAGTGTATTTATTTATGAGGCTACCCTCTATTTTGGCAAGTAATGTTGGTTTCCAATAACAGTAATACTGCTCCTTTTAAAAGTACATTTAAGTGAACAAATGACTGGATTTAAATAAAAATATTATGTCAATTGTATGATAGTACAAATGGGAATCCGAGCAAATACCTGAATGTATGTTCCAAGTGACTGAAATCTGAGAGACAATGAACTACAAAAGGTAAACTGTTTTACAGTTTCATGACAGAATTAAAAATATAAAGAAAGGTTAGAACCCATGATTTAGAAGACATGACCAGTTAAAATATGACAAGATATGAACCTTGAGATTCAACAGGAAATCAAAACAGCTTCATCAACAACTATCTTACTTTTGAAATTATATATTAGCCATTTTTGGTATGCTTATTTACAGGAAGTAGCAAAAGACAACATATTTGATACTGTCATCCACTTTTCCTTTCAACAGCACTTCAATTTATAAATCACTTCTTTCCTAAAATATCAAGAGGGATTTAGACCATGCCCCTAAAGACAAAAATATTTAGTAGGAAAACTATCAGTTACCAAGACAGAACTGCTGTTGGCTATTTTATTCCCCCTTAAATCCTACAAAGTCTTTTACACTCTTTTCCACAGTAATTCCTCTTAGTCTACTAAGAGAACAACTTGCTTCAGCTGGTTGAATTAAGATAGAAAAATTACCAAAGTGTTGAACTATTCCTATTTCAAATTCACTTAAACTAAGCCAACAAGAGAAAAAATTTCATTTTAACTATAAACTTAACATATAAAATATCAGAGTCCAGAACAAAGAAATATGCCTCCTTACTTCTATTTCAATCAGTTTACATATAGTAATTAAGCAGGAGAATAATGTCAGTAGTATATAGGAGTTGGGCTGATTCATAAATGATTTTTACTAAGAAAGAGGACCTAGAATTTTAATCTTAAGCAAGGAGGAGACAGAAAGGGCCCTCAGCTTGGCTGCAGCAGAAGCAGAAGCCCTCCAATCTTTTTAAAATATAAAGCAGCAGCCCTCCCACCCCCAAAACAGGGAACAACTACTTATGGTTCCCTCCTCAGAGATATGCACCCCCAGCTCTCAGCACACAACAGGCTGCACTTCCTCCTGTGCCCACCTTAACACTGCTCTACTGGCTCAGAGTTCCACTCCCATATGCAGTATTCTTCAGCCAGCATTTCCATTCTAATGTTTTTGAATATCGTTAATCTCCTGAAGAAATCTCTAGCCCCATTAAACCATCTGTCAAGGCTGTTTATCTCTAAAGTACCAGTTACAGGTTTTATTAGCGCTCTGGTTACAAAATTGCATGAATTTTCAGTGATTGTCCTAACCCTATCTTTACCACAAGCTCTATTATTTTCAGTGTTCAGTTTTACAGAATGTAATGATTTTTAGGAATATATGTATCATGTTATAGCAGAAACACCTGATATATCTATAATCCTATCAAAACCACAAAGTTATATAAACAACTGTCAGTAAACCAGCTTGTAACATCTAGGCCTTACCTGGTCTCTGGCTCACTGGTGGACTCCCATCAATTCCCGAGAGTATAATGGGAACAGAGCTCAGAGATGAAGTTGGTGTGGTCACCATGGAGGAAGATGCAGCTGTGGTCACCACGACTATGGAGGTGGAGGCAGTGGAAGCAACAGGAAGAGTTATGGTTGGAGGAGATGCTACCAAAGACTTAGGAAAAGCAACTGAAGCCACAGGGGTAGTTATCCCAGTCGTTTTGATAAGGTTCACAGTGGCTGTAGACTGGGTAGGTGTTACAAGGGTGCTGGTATTAGTTTCAGAGACCTCAACAACCCCTGCAGTGGTGGCACCAGAAGAATAAGTAGTTTCCTTAGTTCCCACGTCAGAAATAGCAGTCACAGGTGTCACAGCAGTAACATTCTCTAAAAACACTTGAGGGGTGGTAGTAGTGACAGCAGCAGTCACAGGACTGCACACCTGAACTGGCTCAGAAGAAACCACAGGTGTGACGACCATTACTGGAGAAGGTCTGATACTGAACTTCTGTGGCCCTGTTAGGGGTTGGGGTGTGCTAACTCCAGGTATCTTCTGCTGCAGGGCTCCAACTTTACTCATCACAAACTGTGTGAACACACCACCAGGAGAGGGTCGAGCCGCTGCAAATAAAAATTTGCTGGTCAAAAATCTTCAGTTCTCATATTTTATCCTTGTAGTGATTGTGTTTATCAACATTATTGTGCACCACTGGGTCAATTTCTTACAGGTATTAAGAAATTTCTTACCTGCATTACACATGCCAATTTCCACCCACAGAAATCAAACACAACTCTCCACCCAAACCAAACCTTTAAAATTCTAACTTTAACAAAGGGATTGAAATTGGGTGCTCCTTCTGAAATTCTTTTGGTTATGCAATATAATCAAATTGCCAGGACACTAAAAAGACGTACAGCAGCACAAAACTTCATCATCTAAAACAGATGAAGAGACTGCGCTCCTCCTCATTAGAAAGGACGCCCATACCCTTTCTCTCTGGGTGTGGATTTCTGCCTAGCTTCCAACTTAATACAACTGTTTCTCTGTGTGCTCTCTGAATGAATGAATGAATTAATTAAAACAGATGAAGAAAGTAAGAAGTTGAAACTGTATTCCTAATTCTAATTTTAAAACTTTTTTCCACCACTTCCTCCTGTGCCAGCACCTCCACCTCTTTATTGCTGTCCTTTTACAAGACAGTAAAGCTTTGCATTTTTCTAAAATGTATAAAGACATTTTTTAAAAGAGGGCAGGGGGCTTCCCTGGTGGCGCAGTGGTTGAGAGTCCACCTGCCGATGCAGGGGATGTGGGTTCATGCCCCGGTCTGGGAAGATCCCACATGCCGTGGAGCGGCTGGGCCCGTGAGCCATGGCTGCTGAGCCCGCGCGTCTGGAGCCTGTGCTCTGCAATGGGAGAGGCCACAAGCGTGAGAGGCCCACGTACCGCCA